CGCATGAGCCCTTGATAGTTTATAAATGGTTATTTTGTCATATCTTGCCCTGTTCGACGTCTCCCTTCACCCACTTTTTGATTGTCTGTCCCCCAGGGAGGAGGTCACACACAGTTCCATGTAATCGGTTCCCTCTATGAATCAACTTTTAAAGGCCATGCCAAATAATCAAAAGAACAGTGGATTTCACCAACCTTGATGCCCATGAAAAATGAAAAAGGTAAAACTTTCAACCTCACTTTTCACAACATTAATATTCAACATTGAAGTACCTCTATTTCTCAAGTTCTAAATGATTTATGGCACTGAACATGAAAATATATGTATATATAAGGCTTGCTGCATGTTACTGAGTAACCAAATGGGTCAAAGAAATGACAAAAAAAAAGAAGAGTGTTTTAGAAATGAGATAATATCCATTTCAAGGACATTTCCAAAAAAAAAACCACCACCAAACAAACAGACTATAGCACTGGACACAAAGAATGGCTCCTTGTGACACAGTCTAAGGCCTGAAGCAAATGCAAAAACGTCAAAACCTTTGGAAAGGGGAAAGTATGCTCATCCTTGACAGAAATATGACTCATTTTAGATAAGAGAGAAGAAATATGGTCGTAGAGACAAATCCCCACAATTTGGTAATTCTGCCAATTGATTAAATTCTGTTTCCTCCAGATCATAACTTTTGTCTCAAACATATTCATTGAACTACCAAGGTCAGCACAAAATTACTAAATTAATATTTTAAAACCTAGATTATCAGATGAAAACTGCCATTGTACTCAAAGGCCATATAATAAAGATAATACGCCAACCTCTCCACAAAAATACATATCAAAGCATATACTCATCTATGAGGTGAACCTCCAAAATACATGAAGCAAATTACTTATAAAATGGAAGAAAGAAACAGACAATTTTCTAATAGTAGTTGAGGACATTAATATTAAATCTTTAATAATGTATAGATCAGTAATCAAATAGAAGAGTCAAAGACTATTATTAACCAGTTAGATCTAAGAGGTAACTCTTCAATATTCTATCGAATATACATTCTTCTCATATGCACATTGAATTTTTTTCATATAAGTCCATACATTGATCCAGAAAGCAAATCATAATTCATTTTAAAAAGCTGAAATCATA